TGGTGTGGACCCATATAGACACTTTAATAGTGTTAAAATCAAATCGGACAGTGTTAATTTGTGTATACTGGATTTGCTGTGTACCAGGTACTTTTTTAGTACATGCTCGCCCGGGGTTTCCAAGAGTCTGACTAAAAGCCACAGACTGAGCAGCATTTATATTGTTGCGTCAACCGTTACCTTTGTGGTAGTGTTCCCATCACATATTAATTACAATGCCGGACTTGGTAATCTAGAGCAGAATGATCAAAATTTGACAGTTTCAGGCCTGAGCAGAAGAGCCGAGGAGGTGAAGCTGTCGACTGAGGCAGAACGGCATGCATTGCAGAAGAGAAGCTGCCGGGTTAATAGTCAGGCAGATGTGGATGAGATGATAAACCCTGACTGTCGTCGTTTTATAATAATCATTTAACATTTTAAAACCAGCTGTAAGGTCAGTTTTAAAATAAAGCCATTCAGATAGTTGCAAATAAAATAAAGATGGTATAAAAACAGAACATTTATTGTGAAACAAATTCCACACATTATTCAAAATCAATTTTGAACTTTTCATAATGTTCTTCTGCAAAAATAACATCTTCAGATGTGTTAGCTGTGGTGTTGGTATACCGTTTATTTATTCTATTCTAATTTTAATTTTACGATCTATAATAGAATGATCAAAATCAGTGATAAAACTAACAAAACCTCCAAATACTTAAGTACTTTTTTGTCAAATATTATTATACTCATACTTATACAAATATTATCATTATTATTATAAATAAGTATAAAACTTGTGGAAATCAACAACTTAATGTTGGTTGCTCAGATCAACACTCTAATAGAAACTGTTTGTCTTTGACATGAACTGTAATGATATTCTGTACAACTTGATACAACTCTAACTGAACACTCAAAGCACTTTACACAACTTGCCTTATTCACACATTTACACAATGTAAATGCTTTCTATTTAACATTCACACACATTCATACTTCAGTGAATGCATTTAGGGAGCAACTTGGCATTAGTATCTTGCCCAAGAGTATTTGTTACATATATTTATGTATGTAGCAAATACTGGATATTGACATAACAAATTTCATATTAAAATGATACCGTTTTAGTATGTCAATAATTTATCAGTCAATTAGGAAATATAGACTCTGTGAATAAAAAAAGAAAACAAGCATTTAATGTTCGGACATTCAGCAAATATTGTGATGTTATAATCAACTTTTCAGTTGAAAGGATAATTTATATTAGCAATTAATGAGAAAAAGAAGAGAAATACAGCAACCAATGTACTTTTAAACTAGTCATATTTGAGACAAAATTACACATGATACTGCTACGCTTAAGCCCTATTACACAGAAGTAAACATGTAAAGTTTTATTATTTGATACTAGAATACAGACATTTGTCCTCTGGATTCTCTCTTTTTCTTGTAGATCTGCTGGTCTTTTTTACCCTCAAAGCAGCATAATGAAGGGTTTCTTCAGGTTCACAATTCTGATAATGAAATAAATCCACAAATCACAATATGGCACATGTTATAAAATTTTTAAAATGACAGATAATTGTCATAATAACAAAATGATTTAGAATTGTATTATTATTATTATTATTATTCTACCTCTGTGTTTGTTATAGAGGAAGCTGAAAATCTTGCATTAGACCCTGAAACAAACACACAGACACACAAATCATATTTCAACCATACTGGATGGTAATTTAATATAAACAATATATGAACAGCAACATTTACCTGTACACTGCCGTCTGCTTATACCATAAATTAAGAAAGCCAGTATAAAGATCAGGATTGTGGTGAATGCCAAGGCAGCAATTAAGAAATACACAGAGAGAAGAAAAGTCTCCTGAGCTGCAGTAACAAATATGACAATAAGATATTATGTTAGCAGCTTTTCCAATTTGTAATAACATTTTAATTGTAAACAGAACTATTCATCAGTAAA